ATATAATATATATTTATATATATACATATATTTATAGAAGTATGTAGTGACTTTTATATGAAAGAAAAATGTGTTCTTGTCTACTTTCAAAACAGAACTAAAAAAGAGTAGTCAGGCTAATAAAAAGAATTAGCAATACTAGTTTCTACTCTGGAAAGAAAGTCTACTTGGAAAGCGTCCATTTGCTTACTCATCATTATACATTTTAAGTAATCATTTGGCCAAGAGAACAAGGAGTGGGTCACTCAAAACATTTTGAAATTACTGTTTGACTTGTTTATATGCAAGTCTCTTTTAAGCTGGTTTGCTGTTGCCTGTTTTGGGTGGGGTTCTTTGCCTTTTTTCCTTCTCTCTTACTGCTATTACCAACTAAAGCTTTGTATTCCAATTAATTTAGTTATTGATTTAGTGTTAGCTGAAAATATAAATAAATAAAACTCTTTCACACATAAGTTATATAGAGGATTTGCATTTTATTGATTCCAGTAGACCTGTGTAACTCCTTTACAGCATTATCAGTGATGTCGTGGCAGCAGTTATAGTCACTCCTCTGCTGTGGTACGTTTTTAACACCCACAGAGCAATATCCATCAGTCCACCTATGGTAAAAGCCTGGCAATAATGACTGAAGCTCAGTTGTCTACTACCATTATTGAGAATCCAGAGATGCTCAAGTATCAGCAGAGACAACAGCAGCAGCAAGTGGAACAGAAGAATGCATCGATAAGGGAAGCAGCTGGAACGGCAACAGCGGCTCCCAAAGTGGCAAGCATGGTTAATGGGGAGAGTTTGGAGGACATTAGAAAGGTAGGTGCTCTTGGATGGTCACTTTACAGTGTCAAGTACTAAGTCAGTAAGTATCAAACCGGTTGTTATGAAAACAATTTCTGCACCTGTACTCACATTGTAGGGCAGCTTTCAATATGTGAATGGGCCCGTTGACAATCTTGGTATTTGCTAGTATTTGAAGATTTAAAATGCTTTAAGTTGAATTAAGATCATGTAGGAAGAGGTTTGTGGATGTTTCTATGATGTGTGTTAATTTCTGGATGTGCAGAAAGGAAATCACAGGCGGCTAAAAGTAGTCTGGCTATAGAAGTGTACTGTAATGTCTCTAGGAGAGAGGTTGGGAGCATTAATTCCTTCCTAAACACAGGCGAACAATTTTAATGAAGGATTCAGTGCACACAGATGAGAATGTTTCAGGCTTGTCTTTGTAAGGTGGAAAGCAAATTACATTCTCCAAAAATGCCAAGTCTAAAGATGGCTAAGTATATAATTAAAAATGCGTGTTTTAAGGGCAAAAATCTTTTGTATTGTGGTATGGCCTGAGAGCAGTACTCAGAATTAGAATTCTGTTGTACTTTGTACTATAAAAACTTATGTTCAAAAAAAAATCTATTATTGGTGAAAAAAGTTGCAGTACTAAAATATAATATGCTTGCATAAATACGAATATAAATTGAGCCAGCATTTATACAATAAGAGTGCAATTCACTCATTATGCAGAAAAAAAAACTTCCGTTAGCAAATCTGAATGAGTTACATGAAAGATGTTCCAAAATTATCTGTTAGCTGAGGTTAAAAACCTAAACTTTTCTATTTGTCAGAAACAATAATGAAATGTGTTTCCCAACAGAATCTCTTAAAAAAGCAAGTTGAAACACGGACAGCAGATGGTCGGAGAAGGATCACGCCTCTCTGCATAGCTCAGCTGGACACTGGGTACATTTGGAAGTAGTTTTTAAAAATCATTCCTAACCTTTTTATATGGATTTTCTTTTCCTGATGCACACTAAGAACTTGGACCTGTTTTAATCTCATGGTGTCTTAAAACGTTTTCTGGGAATATCCTGCAAGTACTTACCTATGAATGTGATTCGTCTGTGTTCTGCTACTTGTGAAATCTGAGAATAATTTGTAAGTTGTTAGAACTGAAAGAATGGCTGCCAATTTTAAACTCCTAATGGATAAGGTTAATTCCCGTGATCTACCACTATAGATGAGTGAAAACTATTCTAAGGTACTTCATGTTCCTATCTCCATTACTACCTACTGGCTTTAGCTTGATTTTAAATAAGAGGAATGACAATAAGAGGAATTTTTAAAGGTTGGGTATGTGTATCATATGTGGAAAAGGGAATAATGACATGAATATTGTAGTTAAAAAGATAATATTTGAAGTCTTTCAGAGAAAATATATTTGTTGTTTTTTCTGTCTTTCTGCTTAGGAATTTTCTCTTTTGAAGTATTTCAGAGAAAATGTATTTGTTGTTTTGTCTGTCTTTTTGCTTAGGGATTTTTCTACAGCGTTTTTCAATAGCATCCCAATATCTGGATCTCTGGCTGGCTCAATGATGTCTTCTCAAAGTAACCAGCAACTCTTGTCATTAGATTCTAATGCAGCCAATTCCCTTAATACTTCAAAGCCTTCTGTAGAGCCAACAGCAGCCAGTATAAAGCCAACAGATGATACAGCAAATAAAGATGGGTCAGTATTTGCAGAAATGTTGTTTCTCGTTTATATCACGTCCTATGAGTTTTAATTCTCCTTTACAGTTCTGCAAGCAAGTAATTATTAAAGTGGTTTCCCTATCCCAAAACTTCAAGAATCTAACATTCCTGCAAACATCAAGGTTTTATCAATATTTGTTTACACTCTGAAGAGTAATTAAAGTCTTGTGTTTAGTACTGAAAATGAACTTTGGTGCAATGAGCTCTACAGCTGATTTTGTGCTAATGCTCTAACAAACTGGCTTGCTTATAGCGTACTGGCTTGCTATCAGTAAATAAAAGCTTTCCCAGCACTGGAAGTTTTCATCAGATTCTATCCTATATCCCTTAAATCTCCTTTCCTCAAATGTGATGCTGCTTTTGTATAATCAGATGAGAGAGAGAAAAGTGATTGTCAGTTCACATGTGCTGTTTGGACAGAATTTCTTTCAATTTTACTTGTGTGGTAACACTAATTCGGCTTCCTCTTCTCAATGCCACCACTGTTTTTGTAAGACTTGCAAGAGTGTAGTGTTGCTGGAACCTCTACCTTTCCAATTTAGTTGAGATTGGCCAGGTTAAAAAATGAGTAGACTGTGAGGGATGATTGACAGACAAAACAATTAAATCTCCTTACCTTTAGAAATTGGGGTTCAAACTGCTTTTTAACATCAGTAGTCTTAGAGCTGTTCTTTGCTCTGAACGAACTGAAAAATCTCAAAAGTAAACAGTTACTCAAAAAATGAGATCTCTGGAATGTTTTAGTATGGGGAAAACATAATCCTTTGCCTTAGAGTTATACTTGGAAAAGGCCTAAGAATTGCTTTGGATTCTTCAACAAGAACAACAGAATTAAAACCTGACATGAAATGTTTCAGCTCAGATTGTTTGATTGGTTAAACAAAGAAATACAATCTTATAATGGAAAGTTCTTGGTGAGTAGTAGATAGCCTACTATCTGGATAGTAGATTAATTAAGTAGCGTTTCCAGTTTTAAGTAATGATCCTTTCTGGATACTTAAGCATAATATGAAAACATTTCTGAATTAAAAATATATTTAACTGATTTCTTTTTTATGTATCTTGATTAAAAGATCCTGTGCAACAGCATCAAGATCTTAAATGGTAAACACAAACAGCTTTTGAGAATAGGTCATGCTTAGAAGATATTGACACATGAAAGGTGAAAAAAAGCATATAATAATTCATGTATGTAGAAGTATGTAGAATGAAAGACTTTAAATAGGATTTCTAGTCAGTATACTGAATGTTGGCTCGTTATTGTGAATTATAGAGGTTATAAACACTAAATTTATTTCAATATATTTTTTTCTGTCCCTTTTTTTGACAGTGTAAATGCTACCTCTGCTTTAGCTGTTCCTCTTGCACCATCTTCCTCTGTGCTGACAACTCCATCCAAGATTGAACCCATGAAAGCATTTGATTCTAGATTTACAGAACGATCCAAAGCCACCTCAGGGACTGCTGTAGTAACAAATACAAATCAGACTGTTGTGGACAGGTAAGATATAGCACAAAGACCATAAAAAGGAGAGTAGCATAGAGAGTTAAGTGCTTGATTCTCTGTAGTATGGATGTCATGGTGCTGGTATTCTGGAAATTGTCCTAGGTCTCTTCCACAGATGGAAGGAAGGAGAGCTGCGAATAGGTAAAACTCTTTGCTGCCATTGTGCCTTTGTGTGTTTGTCTCTAGTGTGTGTGATACCAAGCAGACTCTTAAAGGATAATTTCACTCTAAATTCCTGTTAAAAGAGGCTGTTAGTGTATGTGTGTGTGCATGCCTTCATGTGCGGCCGCATGCATGCGTGTGCTGCTTAGAAAACACAAGTGCCCAGCCTGTGTGTCTCTGCAAGAACGGGCTTTGCTTCAGAACAAGCTTCCGTACATGGCTGCAGAGGCCGATCATAGCACCTGCAGATTTTGCTATGAAGGCATGTGGAAAAGACACTTTGATTTTTAAGGTTTTTGGCTCCATGTTTGATTTTATTTTAGAGGTTTCGATCTATAGGATTGAAAAAAAAAAAGTAAAATATTTTTCCTAAATATCTTCATGTTTTTATAAAATAGTGTATGATACAGAGGAAAGTTGTATTAAACTTCTCTTATAACTTTCTAATGTGTCACTAAAATTATGGATAAGAGAATTGTTTGGCATAATTCAGATGCCCCGAAACAGAGTGGGGATGGGGGGTTGACTTATGCAGGATATTCCTAGGAAGCTGAGTGGTTATGGACTAACAGGCAGAACATTGCCATAAGTTGATAATTGGCTTTTGAAAGAAAGGTCAAATGTGAGTTTTAAATGACCTATTTTAGAGTAGAACAGTTATCAGAAAGTTCATCAGGGCTTGTACTTGGTCATCTCTAGCTCTGTTGTATTCCTGAAATGGAAAACAGAGTAGTGAGGCCATTTGTATGGTTTCAAATACACAACTTAGTCAAAGCTAAATAGGACAAGTTTTGTGGGTAGACAACAAAATGACAAATCAAGTTCTGTATGAGAGAGCAGAACGTGTAATATCCATTGGAGGGAGAAAAAAAAAAAAAAAAGATTCTTGCACCTTGGAGTTCAGAGTTATCAAATCAGGGAAGAGATCTAATTGTAAATGTAGTTAAATGCTTGTGTGGGAGTGGTGTGCTTTCTTGATTTTGTTTGTTTTTTAAGGTGAGACTGTATCTTAACAACCTACATTATATATATAAACTGTTGTACTTGGGCAAAATATTTTCTTTACTTGTTTGGCTTCCCCCTCCTACCTTTGTGCCTTTTCAAAACAGTCCTAAGAATGTACTTTCTTACCTAGAAGCATGCAGTGGGTAGGATATTTGGCAGCTGTTGAAACCAACTGAATCATGAAATAAGTGGGTTTTTTACTTGCTCAGACTGAAGGATCAGAATTTAATTAAAGACAATAAGACCAAGGATATCCTGGA